TAAAATACCATTTCCGTTATTGGCTTTCATTGACGGGCGTGTACACATTTTCCTATTTCATTGTCGCCATGAATGATGAATTAATTTGTTCACACGTTATTATTAATCGATTCTTCGTGTCAGGTATTTATCAGTCGCGGCATATTGTGATTGTTGAAAACATCTACAACATGATTTTGTATCGTAACCATTTTATAAACAACTAGCTACTGCCCGCGACTGCGTAGAGGGGTGAAAATTTAGTCTTGTATTTATTTTTGTATGCTGTATCATAAAAAAATAAAACAAAAAATTTTATATTAAAAAAAAATTAGGGGTGGACCACCCTTAACATTTAGTGGGATGAAAAATTAATGTTGTCCGATTCTCCACCATGTCCGAAATGCACACAAAATTTCAAGAAAATCGGTCGAGCCGTTTCGGAGGAGTTTAATTACAAACACCGTGACACGAGAATTTTATATATTAAATTTTATACAATAATGTTAGGTAAATGTTAGTTAATAAGCGCGCCAATACGCACAATACTCATTTATCTCAAAATCCGTAAAATCATGACGTCACTAATGATCGAACGCGCTCAGACTTGGGCATTGCTTTAAGCTTGCCCTTTTACGTCATTCCACTAATGAGTACGAGTATGAGAATTAGCAATCTATTATACTAGACCTAGAACATTTTGACATTAAAAATGCACAATGACGAAATAGTGTAAAACTAAGATTGTTTGAAGAGTGTATTAATTTAAAATCTTATAATTTTGTAATATTAACATACAATAATTTTAATTCTGTGTATACTACGTATAAATATATGAAATATAAAAAAAATACTATGGTTTTAGGAAAATTTTACAGCAGATTAACAAATAAAAGAAATTAGCTAAAAATACGTCTTTCTATTTCTACGTTATTACCTGTCTAGGCTCAAAGCTGTTCGACATAGATTCGCTTTAAAAAGATAAGTCTGTCTATTAAAAGACACATCTCCTGTAAGTTAGGGCTAGGCGATAAGTGATACGGGCATTCTACAAATGTGCTACGAAACCGTAGCTATTGCGTAGCATGTTACAACAAATATTAAAATGAAAGTGTCTGTCTCTGATTTCTAAAATTAGTGTTAAAATTTAAGTAAGCGCTGTTATTTATAAGTCGTCTTATCGTTAATGACCGTTTTTACCCGACTGCGCCAGAAGGAGGGTTATGTTTTTCGAGAATATGTATGTATTTATAATTGTTTGACACGCTCTGCAGCCTGAACGGAGTGATGGATTTTAGCTTAAGAGGTGTTAGATTCGTATTGACTGTGAGAGTGACACTGGGTATATCAAAATCATTTCCAACATACAGCGGGACGCAGTCGGGTTTTTTTTTATTATATCTACTTGTTAATTTTTTTAATATTTGTTTCTATCGACACAATGACCTTCAAGATAAATTTGAGGGATTAAAACTAAGGTATTTTTTTGAAGATTTTATTTAAATTTCGTTATTAGATCTACGGGGATAAATTCATGATGAATCACCGCTGGGTGATTATATGTTATTTATAAAGGTTGTTTGTAATAGTTTATATGTTCGGTGTGTTTAAATAAATGATGTTGGACTAAATTCAAAACTTGTAGTCTTTAATCTTTTTTTTTAATACACTTTATAAAAGATAAAATTAAAATCTATCTTCTGTATAAGATTAAGTGCAAGTACAATAACAGACCTACGGAACCGAGACATGGTCCTTCACTGCTGGCCGTATGAGGAAGCTCAAAGTCGCTCAGCGAGCTATGGAGCGGGCTATGCTCGGTATTTCTCTGCGTGATTCTGCGTTCGTAACGAAGACATCCGCAGTAAAACCAAGATAACCGATATAGCTCAGAGGATTAGCAAGCTGAAGTGGCGATGGGCCGGCCATATAGCTCGTAGAACCGATAACCGTTGGGGAAGAAAGGTTCTCGAGTGGCAGCCTGGTACTGGCCATCGCAGTGTAGGACGACCTCCCACTAGATGGAGTGACGACCTGTGCAAATGTGCGGGAAGTCGATGGATGCACTTGGCTCAGGATCGTACTTCATGGCAGTCTGTGGGGGAGGCCTATGTTCAGCAGTGAACAGGCTGAATTGATGATGATGATGATGAAAAATAACAGGCTATATACATATGTACCACTGCTGGGTAAAGGCCTCATATATACACAGGGTATTAGAGCATAGTCCTCCACACGATCCTAGTGCGGATAAGGGGACTTCTTCATATCGCCGATTTTTTTGTTTATTTATTAAAATATGCAGTGTTTCTGTATTTCCCTTTCTCGTAGATCACGTAATAATTCAGTATTTAAAATTCCAATTAACAGTTTCATTGAGACGGGTCCAGGGATTTGAACTTAGGTTGCTCGAGTATATTAAAAAATACTCGAATCTGCGATTTTTTTGGATGCATGCTGTCTTTTTTCTACTTTTGGCGTTTTGAGATTGTATTGGTGTTTTTGAGTGGGTGTTTTTGAAACGCCAAGATGTCAATGCCAATCGAAGTAGTTTATCGTAAAACACTGAAAAAATTCCAATAATTTTAAAGGTCTGAACTGAAACTACAGTCATTTTTTTACTGGATATAATTATCACATAGCGGATCCATGCAGTCATTATTTATTTATAAGGGCCTTATTTGATCGCTATCTCATTTGATGGTTAGTGGTCATGCAGCTGTAGTTGGTAAACGCACTCGCATAATAAAAACTTATTCATTCTGTAGAGACGTTGCTGTTACATAAATGTCTTAGTCTCAAATAGAACCGGTAATTTAGGCGTTTAATGAGCCACAGTGAGACGGGACGGTCCCCGTTGTCTCACCGGAGGAAACGCCAAAATATGAACGGTTCTATGTTAGTCTAATAAGAGCCCCTACGCACTAAGAGTTGTGTTGATACCTGTTTTGTTACATCATCACAGCAAATCCCTGCCCCTTTTATTTATTTAAATTAACAATAATAACCAATAAAGTGTAAAGTACCTAAATAGGTACCGCAACAGAAAAAACAGTCATCCCAATTTTGTGGATATTTCCAAGAAAACGCTCGGTTAAAATGTTATAATTGATGCTCATAAACAGCACTTAATAACCTTTAACTAGCGGCAGGTGAAAAAGCATAACCGAATTATATAAACACGCCAGCTATATGCCTTCACTGACCCGAAGTCGCCGAATGTTCGTTCACTTGGCGTCACTGCATAGGATTTAGGAAATAAAACCCACAGGTTTCTTTATTTATTGGTTGTAGTAAAGTTAGTGGGGATGTACCGTTAAAATACAGATTCAGTTTTAGTTGCGAAATGATTTAGACATTAGTTGCAACTCCGAGTTCATTATACAGCCACTTGTCAATTTGTTATTTATAACTAAACTCTTTAAACTAAATCAGTCGACTTATTACCAAGACTCTACTTGAGTAAACCAATTTAATGCTAATATAGCGTATTGGAATTTTTGGAATTTTTGAGTGCTTCCGCCAACTACAGCTTAGTTTTAGTATGGATAATATTTTCGTATGGTAATTTTAATAAACAATTATCAGGTTTATAACAACATTTCTTAAATGTAATAAGCATGACAAATTAACATGAATGAAAGAAAGTCTCTCGGCCCATAAAATGAAATTGATGTTGACAACAATCTTCGCTTATCTTTATATATATATAATTCTTCTGTACGTGTGTATGTCACTGAACTCCTCCTGAACGTCTAGATCGATCCTAATGACATTTTTGTGTGTCTTCAGGTGGATTCGAGTATTGTTTAGATTCACAAACATATTCTAAAAGTTTGGAATTTTAGGATTTAAGACGTGTGTACAGGACAAAGTCTCCAGGTGTAGTTACTCTGTATAAGTAGTCATGGGAGTTAGTATAAGTTCACTTAAGCTTAATTACCAATTGAAGTGTCTAAATGCTAAGTAAGGCACGCTGGGCCGACGCACAGGGGTGCGGTGCCCGAGACGCCCCGCCACGCGGGTCGGCCATTCCGAACCGTCACTCGATTCCCTTCTCAAAACAAAACCGGTCGACTACTTTCACGTGCTGTTTACTAATTACACTCGAGCTAATTAACTATCTAACGCATCCCTAGACTTTTAACAAAGCTGCCGGTAGGTTCTATCTTTGATTAATTTGATTTTGGAATTTCGCGCCGTCTCGAATCGAATTCAATTTCATTAAAAGAAATGTGATATTAGTCTTCATATAGAATAGTTTCGGGGAGTTTGGTGAAATGGCCAGTGAAGAAACAACGCCTGCTACGATGGAGGTAAGAGACTTTTTTATATATGCACCGTGATTTACGTTTGTTCATTAGTGTAAACGTCGTAATTTAAATATTAAAAAAATTAACTCTAACCAAATGAGGTAGTTAATTGTGAACTGACCGAGTTCGTTACGAACTGAGTTCAATTGCGTTTAATGAATTATTCAAGTAGATTTTTAACACAACATTTAATTAATAATTAATTTAATTTGTTTTCAATTCAACAGCGATTGTTAATTAAGAGATGCCTTCAAATATGAAAACTAATGGCATTTATAAGCAATTTCATGATTTAGTATTATGTTTAAGTAAATTTCTTGGAAACAAATACAATACTAATGCCGTGACCTCTGTCACTTAGTCACGCATCTAGACTGAGCCGATTGCTTCGACGATAAGTGTACGATAAAAAAAAACCCTAAACATTTTAGTATTTTAGAAATTTTCCATTTGAAACCGCTTAAGAGTACCGTTCTAACAATCATTATTTAGCTCTAATTATTCAAAAAGGTCATTAAACTTTAGCCCAATGTGTTGGGCTATTAAATTATTGGTAGGATTATCAAGGTATATCCAGATTGGATCGCCGATGACTTAAAATTCAATATGCGGGCGCGTTCAATGAATGGAACGCGGCATAGTGACTAGGCGATTGGACGAGGGCGGGGAGCGTGCGTCAGGCATTCGCCGGCCGGGGGGTGGCCAGTCATGTCGCGTCGGCAGCAGCTAAGACCACGCGTACATTCAAGGGCTCGTTCGCAGGCGCCCGAGGGCTCGTCCGCTCCGGAGCCCGCCGCCCCCGCCGAGCCGGAGCCCCAGGCGGCTTCCGACGACGAGAAGGAATGGCGCCCCTCGCGGCCCCCCTCCCCGCCGCAGCAAGACGCCTCCGAGGGCTCGGAGGCCGCCCGCCCAGCCCGGCCGGAGCCGGCGAGCCGCTACGCCAACCTCAACTACTGGCGCGCGCGGCGTGTCACCTTCTACAGGAACGGTGACCCGTACCACCCCGGGGTGGAGTTCCGCTTCAAGCCCGGCAGGGACCTTGTGTCGATGGACGCCCTGTTGGATCGCCTCTCCGAGCGCCTGGAGCTGCCTAGGGGCGCCAGGTTCATCTTCGGCATGGACGGCGACCGCAAGTACAGGCTGGAGGAGTTGGAAGACGGCGCCTCGTACGTCGTGTCTTCATACAAGACGTTTAAGGTATGTACAGTTTGTAATAATTTTTCTCTGATAATTTGTGTAACTTATGTACTTATTACTGTAGGACTTAATATGAGGTAAGTGGAACATTAACAATACATAAACAAAAAACCGAAAAATTACACAATCATTTAGTTTGTAAATAAATGATGGTATTTGCAAACGTTTTACATGGTGCATATTATGGGCTAAAAGGTATAAAACTTTATTTCAATTACGGTTCTATGAATAGGTCTTTGTAATATTTTACGGTTTTTTACGGTGGTAGGGCCACGCAGCAGCCTCGGCTGTTGCACGAATGGGCAGGCTCGTCCGGGTAAGTAACACGACCTTACAGAAGACCGGCGTAACGTGGAAGTATAACAAATACTTTCACGTTTCATTTGGTAAATGCGGTAGTCGGAGCCCAATCTTCAAAAGGTTGTCAACGCATCTGTAACCCTCGGGTGTAGCAGATGTCCATGGGCGGCGTTATTCACTTAACATCAGGTGAACCGTCTGCTCGTTTGACAACTTTTCACATAAAAAAATCATTTTTTTCCAAAAACGAAATTGTTTTCGTGTATAATAGGTAATGGGTTCGTAGTAGATATGATATCATGCAATTGCATCTTTTAAAATACATTTAAATAAATACATATGCAAATCAAACCACGTCAATCACTCTTTCGTCAATGTCAACAATGGCATCCGTCTGCTGCAGAAACGGAGATAGAGATTAATAAGTACAGCTTACAGTAACGTAAGTTTGTTATAACTTAAAAGTAGCTCCGTTTTTTGTGATGAGCGCACGTTTTGGACAATTTTTGTATATCAACATTTTTTACTAGTTGTTAGCATGCTTAAGAAGTATTTATGTTGTAATCATTAAAACTTCATTAACGATGGTAATGAATTTATTATTGTTTAGCAATATATATTGAGCAATATATATACATGAATTTATTATTGATTAATACTCTATATAATAATATTTGACAGTCAAAAAGAATAATAGGCTCTAAAATAGGTGTTAAGAAACTGTTGAACGATAATCATCTTTGATGCGATTGTGCGTCGCAATGAAATATACACTGACATCGCAAACATTGTATAAATACTATTTAGTCTAGCCTTTATATTGAAACCATAACAAAATTCGAATATCTTAAAATGTGACGATGTGTAAACAATGAGTACAAGCTTCATTTGTTATGAGAATTGGCGTGTTCAGCGCCTCAAGATGGTATTCGAGCCAGCAGGAGTAAGGGCCCAGCCAGACGAGGCCGCGGCCTTGCGAGATGTGGGTCGGAGGATAAGCCCCACGCACCGTCGTCCCCATTTGCATTAAGATTACGTGTTACGGAATTTCGTTTCTCTCGGCGTGCGCGGGGCGGCTAATTGCGACGGACTTTCGTCCAAATGCAATTATCGTCGTCGGCGAGGGAAATCGCGGAGACCATTACGGCGGAATAAATTTAGCTCCTTGAAATATATTCGTAGCTTGTAGATTGGGTTATTTTTTTACCGTTTGTTTTTCACCGTGTTATTAAACAATTAAGTAATTTACTTTGATTCAGAGCGGTTCTTATTAGAAGTTGTATTATTGCGAAACGTGATTCGTATGATAAACATATCATATTATCTATTATAAAAACAGCATTTTCGTGATAAGTTATAAGTTAAGCTTATTTTTTATTGTCATTCATAAAATCTTCGTTACAAATTCAGTGTGTAAGACTTACCATGCTATCATTTAAGCATTCTTTTACCTGGAATTAAATATCGTTTAGTGTTGGTTGGAAATGCTGTGCGTCCGTAATAAATCCAGCGGTGGCTTGACAGTTGCCGAGGGCAATGTACCACCTTGCACTTAGACTGCAACCAAGGCAATAGTACCAACGACCGCATAACCTTTTTGCGCAGTCGTCGTCGCAAAAGGCTGTACGCAGTTCGTACACAACTAAAATAATTGAAGAAAAATCGTATTACTTTATTTGATTTATAACGAGACGAATAAAGAAAAATAACCTAGATGATATATTTTGATATGCATTTCAGTATTTCCTAAGGCTACGTTGTACCTGAAAATAAAATTGGGTTCAATTCCCAGTCTATGGGGACCTACTGTAATTTAAGCGTCCGTTTATCAATTTATGTTAAAATAACAGTCGTTGTTATAAAAGAAATTATAATAGGATTATCAGTCACACAAAAAGAAAAATGTTCGTTTATGAAGTTATTTTCTAATTTCTAAAATCTTTTCATTCCTCGCTTTTATTTTAGCAATACGCGTTAAATGCGTCTCGTACATCTTAAACAGGAATTAGAAAGCCTCGCTATGTTGCTAAAAAAAAATATAACTAATTTTCTCTATCTCATGAATCAATCAATTTTGGTAAACAACGCTCATGCTTAACTATATACTCTAATATACGAATGCTGTTAAAAGTTTACACGAATAATCACTTCTGATATTAATTCAACGTCTAAAAACGCATGCTGTAACTTTTTGTTTACTTTTTTTTGTTGGTACAAATATCTTTATTTCATAATATTTACAAGATAAAATCTAAGTATCTAAAATTACATATTATCTAATAAGCCTAATCCACGCGGCATGCTGTAACTTAATGTGACTGTGCGTAATACTACTTTAAGTGACAAATTCCGTAATTACGGAAAGCTTTATTCTTATCGCTTTTATGACATGCAATGTGTCTTTAAACTCATTAATTTTAATTTCTAGCTTAACACCTTAATGCGTGAGGGCTTCGTATTCACTGGATAAAACGTACGGGTATATATTTTTAATATAAAACAAAGGCGCCGTTGACCACGCACGCGATTCCTTGCTCCACGACGTGCAAAGCAATATTTCCTCCTAGATGATTATCACTAAGCTATGCATGATAAAACATATAAATCATTATAAACTAATACATTTTCCTAACATTTAACGTTTAAATGCATGCAGTTTGCGAGTTATTTTTGTTATTGTAATTAATAAAATATAATATCTCTCTTGTGTACTTCATATAATTGCTTATCACACTTGAAAAAAGGAATTTTGGTGAACAGGATTGAAACAGAAAAAGGTATTATTCTAATATTAGATGTGATTAAAATAATAGGTCATAAAGTGTAAGGTTTATGGCGAGAAATAGGAAAAACTAGTAGATAATATTTATAGATAGAAATATTATATATAATAATAAGATAATATATCTCTCGTAAAATCTTAATAATTTAAATAAATAACGGAAAAGATATAAAAGTTATATAATAATTTAACACATACAAGCGGACCGTATAGACGTTGTCCTGTACACACGACTTAAATCCGACAACAACTTAAAAGAAAAAACAAAAAAAAAATGTTTCTGAACCATTCTCGAATCGACCTGAAGACATAGAAAAAAATTCATTAAAATCGGTTCAGTCGTTTAGAAGAAGTTCAGTGACATATACACGTACAGAAAAATTATATAAGTAAATAAAGATATAAAGATAATAGATATGTGTATGATGATCCTCCGGCCCTTATCTCCCACTAAGGTGTGGTCGGAACATGTGAATCATGTTGCTGTAAGCTTTTTTGGCTGTCTTGTACGATCAGCCGCCTCCCTGACCTCATCCCTCTTTTAGAAATATAATAATTTTATTTGAACATAAAGGAATGTATATAATAATATTATTTAAACATAACAATGAATGTATATAACATTTCCACAAAATTCATAAAAAATTGTCTTTAGAAATAATGAACGATCTTATGCCCGTCGTAGCTTTTCGTAGCAGATCGTAGCAAGTTTTTAATTGTGCTTATCACAAGCTTATTAAAACTTAAATTGAACGAATTAAATATAATACCGGCTCTTCGTATATTGAGCAACACACCATAAACTTTTCTCAATGGAGAACTGTAGCTTTATTATTAAATTTATAGACTACCCTATTTCAGCGTAGTTGAGATATTTCCATACAGGTAGTATAGTTTAGCTAGTGTAGTGTAGGGAATACTTATAATAAAAAGAAAGACTCTTTTTATTTCAAGTATTCCCTGGTATTCCTTTGTCAGGGCCAAAACATCGGACCAAACATAATGTTCAATTTCACATTTCAAAAACTTTATTCAGAAAGCAAATTTTATTTCACCTCTAAAAGAACGCTAACTATTTTTTACGTTACCATATTGGGCTAGTTGCCAAATAATGTAAATCTAAGTTAAGTTTCTTCAAAAAGATAACAAATGACAAACAAACAAAACATATTATCTATACTTTTTACCTTATGTTTATAGTCAAACATTTGTTTAATTTTAAACAAAATTTTGTCAACCAACAATATTTATTAATGTTTCAATATCATGTCAATGGTTCAGTTTTCAAGTTAAATGAATTATGTCATAAAACAAATTTACCGCACGAAAATCTTTAATGCGAAAAATTACTATTGAATATAGTAATTTTTCGCATTAAAGATTTGGCATTGGAGGTTAGGTTAAATTGACCGTGATATTCAGAAATCTTCGTAGATTTAACACGTGCCGTTTCTAAACGATTTAGGCGTGGTTTTGCGGATTTACCTTGAACCGTATTAATGTGAATCCGATCGTTATTACCATCATTTCTCGAAGGTAAACGGGCCATTTACTATGGTAGCAATTTATTTCATGTGGTAAAGAAAACGAGCACTAACAAATATTAACTAATTCAGACACATTACCTGAAAATGTAATAATAAATCTGTCTCTTGAATGAAAAAGAAATCGTTGTTGTCCTTAAGAATTAGAGATATTAAAATATGTTACGATAATGTAATTTAAAGTAATTCATTTGGTGAAACCTCGATTACTTTTCAGTATGGGTTCTTTTCAGAATAAATATTTTGGGAATATATTTTGTATTTTAAAAGCCGTAATGCATAAAATGCTGTCATGCATAAAAATACGCTGATATGCATGTATAGAGATATTTAAATATTATTTTGATTAAGAGGTCTGGTAAAATAATAAATAATTTGTGGTTTAAATTACAATTACAAGATTATGAGTAATTTTATCATTAAAATTGGCACTAGAAAACGCCTCTGGAATGTTGTATTATAGAGATTGTAGGTAAAGTAAAAATAAAGTAACGGCCTATAGATATCCCACTGCTGGGTAAAGGCCTCCTATTTTTACAGAGGGTATCAGAGCATAGTCCACCACGCGGCCCCACTGCGGATTGGCGAACTTCACATATCTTCGAAATATTTTTTTTGTTATTATTTAAAACATATGCAGGTTTCATCATGATGTTTTCCTTCACCGCGGAACACGTGATAGCGTATACACATCGGATATTGAAAATATTTATAACATCCAATATTTTTTATTTAATAATATTTTTTATAAGTGTCTTTTATTGATTTTTAAGGATCCGTACCTGAAAAGGTTAAAAAATTAACCCTTATAAGATCACTCTCTTGTCCGTCTGTCGGTCAGTGTGTCACCACCAATTTTCTCAGGAACGGGTAGACTTGGTGAGACAAAATTGACAATTCTAGTTCAACAGGTTGTACCCTATAAGTTTTGGGTCGAGGACCTATTTGGTAAGACCTGTTGTACCTAGAATCGCGAAATTTACCAAAGAGCATCTTACGGCAGAAATAAAGGGGAAATTCCAATTAATAAAAAAAAGGTGAAGATTAAAGTGTGTTCCCATACATATACATAGTTGACGCCAATTAAGATAGTCCTCCGAGCTGTATGGGCGTTCATATAAATACAATTACAAACTAAATGATGGTACGGAACCCTTAGTGCGTTTACGTTTCGAAAGCAACGATACGTCATGATTGTACGACAAATATATACAATATTATTTGCTTAAATAAATAGGTGAGTATCGCAACCAAAAGCGGTCAGTGTTTACTTGCTACATATCGAAAATTTTGCAGGCCGTGGAAAGTGGGAAAATGGGTCAAACGATTTAACAATCAGCGGATAATAGCTGTTTGTAACGAATATCCCGCCTTAAAGATTTAACTACGGTCACTTCCAGCCATTTTGAAATGCTAGTTTGATCATTTTCTATTCCGAAAGAAATATTACGAAACGGTTTCATCCAGTCTGAGCCAAAAGATTAAAATAATTTCAATAATTTAATTTTGATTCATGCCTACATAGAATGATTTTTTTATGTGACAAGTTGTCAAGCGAGCAGGTGACCTGATGTTAAGCGAATACCACCGCCCATGGGCATCTAAAACGCCTGAGACTCGCAGAACAGGCATCACGCAAAAACTAAAAATTTCATCCACACTACCTCGGTTCCACAACAGCGCGATTTTCAAGGCAAATCC